TTTGCAATTGCCTGGCGACGATCCGCCGGCGATAGGTTGGGCGTTCGTTTTGGCGCATGGGGGACACTTTTGTCAAGTTCCTTGCACGGCGGCGGGAGTGGCGACGGGATGCCTACAGCAAGAGACGTCAGGACCTTCTTCATGGAAGTCATTTTACCAAAACAGTAAAAAAATAAATAAATCAACCTTCAAACAAAAATTAAAACGATATAAATATAAATATATATATTTTTTCAGTTGTTTTTTTTTTTCTTTTTTTCAACAGTCGTGATTGCTTCTCAATCAAAAGCATGTGTACACACCGATAAAAAGAAAGAAAAAAAAAAGAAAAGAAAGAAATAAATTAAGTGAAAGAGAGAAAATGTGTTTGTGTGTGTTTATTTGGTTCAAAGAAAATCGCAGAAAAAAAAAAGCATGAAAAAGACAAGTCGTTAAATCTTCACTTGTGTGCATGCCGTACAATACATGGTCAAATGCATGTATGTATGCATATGTATGTATTATAGGCCACCCAGCCACCTACCCACCCACACACACATACACAGAAGGGGAAACAGGAAGAAAACAGTAGAAGATCGGTATTCATCACGCCGCTTCTGCCTCTGAGCGGAGTCTTTTACGTAGGGCCTGCATACTGGCAACACCACTCGCCGTCACAGTGTTCGCCAGTCCCAATACTGCGCCACACCGCACTGAAAAGCCTTCATCGCCGTAACCTTCCACCCATCCACCGCGTGTTGGCGGTGGATCTGTCGGCAGATCCGGCAGGCGACCACCGCGATCCCAGTTTTGATTCGTCAAGTGATACAACACCGCCGTCAGGTACTGTCGCGCAAACGGTGTTTCCTCAATCTTCTTCTTCACCACCGTGACAACGCATTCCTCCTCCTCCATCTGCTCACTCTTTATGCCGGTACTCCGATGTTTTGTATTGTACTCGACAAAACAAATACCACGACTGGAGCCGTTTGTCGGATTTGTGTACAGACGCACCGTCACTGGCGCCGCAGACGGGTGCAACTGCAGAAGATAATTTCGAATCTGCAACTCGCTCGTTTGCCACGGAAAGCCAAAAATAATGATGACATTGGCGGCCCGCCACAACTTCACAGCGGGCTCCACTAAACGTGGCTTTTCATCCATCTCACACAACCCTCTTCCTTCTAAACCCTACCACGCAAACGAGCAAACAATGTACAATTTCCTTCCGTGAGGATAGAAAAAAACAAAACAAAACAAAAAAGAAAACAATCATACATGGAAAGTCCTCTGCGACGAACACAAAGACACACACACACAGAGAGAGAGGCACGCATATAAAAACATACAGAGAAGAAGAAAAAGTAAAGTTAACGACTCGAAAACACAGTCAACGGGAAATATGGATCTGCCTCCATGCCGCCATGAACAAGAAAAAAAATCTGTAATTATTCCTTTTTTTTTGTCCTTATATATATATATTTCCTTCTGTTGTTTTCCGCCTCTTCTTTAACAGTCCCGCGAGTTTCGGTCCTTGCTATTTATCACCTCTCAGGCACTTCGGCGGCCTGCTTCTCAAGGATCCCTTTCACCTCCACCGGAAGCGACAGAAGGCCGTGACTGTCACATTTCAACATCCTCTGCAGCTGCGCCCTGGTAAAACCATCCTGTGCGTGTTCTCGCAGTAGATTTAGACATCCCTCCTCCAAACCCCACTCTCGTGTCCAGCAAGGGCAGTCACAAAGTAACATCGACACACATCGCGCAGAACCATGATCTTTCATGTGCTTGTAACTCAAAAGCGGTAAAAGAAGCCTCGCAATCGCCTCCATGTCTTTGCCTGTATCACCCACAGTTAAAGAAGATGCGGGGGTTCCCGTTAACATTTGTTGTACTTGATTCAGGCATGCGGCAATAATGACCGCCTGCAACGGAGTCACCGATCGCAATGATGATGGCGATGACAACGCACCCTTTAACGCCGCAATAATAGCATGGAAAAGATCTCCCTGAACCCGCAGGAAAGTGCTACTGATGAGAAGATTAATGAGCACTGACACGCCCAGCGGTGGCCCGTCGCTGCGGAGCTGCTTCTCCACAGCACGTTCATGCAGCCGCCGTAGTGCTTCTTGCATTTGCCGTGATTGGGAGGTTGTCGCTAAACCTTCCTGCGTCTTCTCGTCACGATCCATCGCATGCCCCTCCTCCGTTTTTTGATCGTCGGGGAACCTCAGCCGCGGCTCTCCCAATCCAAAAAACACAGCCACCGGCGCGTTTGGCAGCTCGGAGTAACAGCGCCACAAGTCGGTGCTCATGGCCTCGTCAAGAGACTCCCGCACGTACTCCGGCACCAATGGACTGTACACCCGCACCAGCACCCGCAGCAGCTGGTGAAGATCGACATCATGAGATGTTGTTGGGTGCTGTGCAAGCTGTTTCCACGCCTTTTCCTCAGGGATTTGTTCGCTCGGCCACCGTCCCAATGCGTGCACAACACCCACAAATGTGAACACGGCAGATTCCCGTTCAGTCCAGCAGGCATCGGAGTGAACAATGCCATCAAATGCGCGCTTTAAAGCCGTTTCTTCTCCCACCAACTCCTTCAGCAGCCGCACACCACGCGGCTGCGAGTCCATGGAAGAAGACACGGGTGATGTCAAAGCAACAGGAATAGCTGACATGAGCATTTGGTTTAACACGATGCGAAATTCCCTTTCGCTCTGAAGCGGGAGGGTGCTCTGCAAAGGAAAGGCGTTTGACAGCCGCAACACATCTTCCCACGCCGTGGTTTGTGTGGTGAACGACCACAGAGCACCGTATTCCACGGACGAAAGCGTGTCCGCTGGTGTCGCGAGTACAGAATTCAGCAACTCGGTCTCAAATGCTCGCTTGTCCGCCTCCAAATAAAGTGGGAAACGCTGAACAGCCTGCAGTGTCTGCCGGAGACCGATAAGCGACGCTGTTGTAGGCGGCTGTTTCGCCATTTTTGTGAGAATCTCCAGCATCGTGCGGTGATCCACGTAGTCGAGGAGTGCGTACCGCTGAATCAACTTTGCGTTGAATGCCGTCAGCTGCTCCGGGTGACACTGAAAGTGCTTCAGGAGAGCCAGCTGCGTCAGCCGGTTCATGGGCCGCACCAGACGGAAAGACAGCGAGTCCATTGACCCCTCCCCCACGGAGAGAGACTAAAAAGAGAGAGAGAGAGAGAGAACAGCCCTTCTGTGACCAACGTATTAAACATGTGCACATGCAAATGTGAGCAGACGCACATGTTAGCATAGCAGAGAGAGAAAAAAACAAAAAGAAAAGAAAAGAAATTTGTAATAATAATAATAATAATAATAATAAAGGTGTACACATGTGTGTATTCCACGGGGAAATGGTTTGTGGCTTAGAAAGGCACATGGATAGCAATGATCAGCGACGATGCAGCGCATATATATGTATTCTAATGATGCGTGCCGTGAAACACACTCACATAAAAATAAATAAATAAATAAATCAACGTGAATCTCTCAGGCTATATATATAAAAAAAAGAGAAATGCAAGCTGACAACTCTCTCACGTTCCTTTTCCTGTTCCTCCAATCCATTTTCTTCTGTCTCTCTGTGCCGTGATAATCAACGCCAGCCCCCATATAAACTACAGGCGGGTGAAATATACGTACGAAGCAAGAAATATATATATATATGTCTAAAATCTAAAAATGCAAGTTGTCCAAAATAAAAACAAAATATAAAAAAGGACCCTTCTTCTCTCTCAAAGAAGGAACATACATGCACACATACACTCTCTCTTTCTATCTATCAGCCCGTACAGATAATCCAGGCTACTTTTCCTGGCGTGCAGAAGTACGCCGCGAGTCAGACATGGCACTGCCACTACGAAGCCGCTTCGCCTTGACACCACCGTTATTACCTGCTGTCCGGTTCACAACTTTAGTAGAAAGCACCGATGGCTGTGAATCTCCGCTTGAAACGAAAGCCGCCGTCGCAGTCATGGCATTAGCGGCAGTGGGGGTTGTTGTCGTAGCTGTGTTGGTGGTGGTGGTGGTCGATAGCGACGAGTTGGAAGAACGGGACGGTGGCATGTTCCCCATTTGCACCAACGCCGCCAGCGAGGCGCTGGCCGCCTTCACGCGAAAGGACTCATTGATGAGCCGCAGCGACTCCGCCAAGTTCTCGTCAAGACTGCAGGGTGGGAAGTATTCCTTACTACTCTCCACCGCGTCGCGGCAGACATTCCGTACCATGTGCCGGAACGGCAACACATCTGCGGGCGAAGATGACTGATTCGCCGTGACGGAGATGCCGCTCTCAAAGAGGCGGTGTTCATCTTCGAGCTCCTTGTCCAGCCGTGTCTGCTCCCGTGCGTACGCGGACAGCACTTCCCGCACTTGCTCTTGCAGAGTTCGCTGCAAGGACTCCAACGATGCTTGACGACGTTCCTGCAACGCCTGGACCGTGGCACAGTGACTTTGCGTCACGGCGAGGACCTCTTGACTGAGGCTGCGGAAGCCGTCATTGATGCGGTCCACCAGTCGTACCGCCTCCTTCTCGTAATCACGAGAAAGTGCCAACACCCCTTCCTGCCCTCTTGCCATTCTTGTCCCTTCTCCCTCCCCGTTCTTCTCCTCTTCATTCAGGCCACCATCCTCATTTTCCTCGCGCAGTGCATGTACACGCCACTCCTCAAGCCGCCCGGCCACAACCTCTGCACTCCGCTGTGCAGCTTCATACGCCCCAGACACAGCCTCCTGCACGACCCGCTGCAGTAAACACAGCTGTGCGTCAAATTGAGTAAGAGCTTCGTGATATATCTGCTTGAACCGACACAACTCATCCTCCTTTTCCTCAATCATAGCCTGCAAAATGGCTGTCTGTGAGATGTTTATATGCTGCAAGGCATCGTTCTGCTGCCTCTCCCGCAGCAAATCTTCCAAATCCACCTTCAGCGCCTGATGCTCCTCCTCCAACTGCTGAATTCGCTCGTGTTCCTCCCGGTTAACGTAATACCCGCCCCGCTCCACAACACGTTCCTGCAAACGATTGCGCAAACGTTGGTTTTCCAACTCAAATGAGCGAAGGCGAACCAACAACTTTTCTCGTTCCGTGTTCGCTGCGTTGCGGATTGACCTCGCCTTCACGGCGTACATGAGGGTGGATTTCGTCTCCTCAATGTCCCGCCCCACAGCGGAGATGCAGGCAATCATGAGAGTGCGTGCCGAGCCCCCAATGGAGTCTCGAAGTAGTTCCGTAAGCTTAGAATCTCGGTATGGCACGTGGCTAGGCCGTGTTGCCTCATTGGAGTTTGCAAGCGCCAAAAATACACTTTTCAACGCCAACAAGGACTTATTAATTTTCCCCGCCTCATTTGCCGCTACTCCATTCACTTGGGACTTCTTGAGACTCTCGCTTCCTGCCAGGTCAACCATGAAAAGATGCGCCAATTCCACCGTGTCCGTGTAGGCATTTTGTTCCTCAAGGTCAAGAATAAATACAACATGTGAACGACTACTGCGCTCATTCATGAGTGTCATTGCGGTGTGTCGCCAACTGAGGCCGCGTTGAATCGCTTCATTGGCATCGCTCAGGCGAGATAATGTCAACTTCACCATCGCTTTTGGAAAGCCACCAACAAGTGTTACCTCCGCATCTCCGTTTTCGCTCAGCATGTCTGTAAGTTTTTCATTATATATTTCAATCATGGAGAGGGTTAACGCACACTTCGACTCTTCTAATGTCCGCTGTTGCACATGCTCCAACATGGCTGCAATCATTCGGTGGGCAATGCCGTCTGTTCCGCCGGGGACACCCAACATTGTGTGGGTCTTGCCGGTACCTGTCTGCCCGTAGACCATCACCGTCCCGTGCAAACCATCCTTCACGCTCTGTAGGATCGGTTGGCATGCAGCAAAAACCTCATCCTGCGTGGATGTGGGAGGAAAGATGTGGTCGGGGTCATATGTCTTGTTATCCAGGAGGATGCGGCGTCCTTGGTAGAACTCCAACCCAACAGCAGGGCGTTCATTCTCAAAGAGCGGACGACATCGTATTGCAACTTTGATATTACTCATTTCCTTCTAAACCCACCCTTCTCTTTATTATTACTGTTATTGTTTTCTGTTCCTCAACGCCTCCCTTCAGCCCCCCGTTTCTACTCCCTTCTCCTCTCTCTCTCAAAATATATATATATATATATATATATATATATATATATATGTATTCTTCTTCTTTTTTGTTGTCTGATGTGGTCGTTATGAATGCACCCACGACGTCCTTCTCGTAATCACACAGACAGAGAAAGAGGCTGTGCGTAAATAAATATGTATCTACGTGTGTATGCCACCTTCTACTTCTTATACCACCAGGCTACGCGGCAAAGCGGAATTGTCACACGCATTCACACCCATGCCACAAAAGAAAGAAATAAAAAAAAAAGAAAGGAAGGGGGGTGGAAGAAGACACTGAAAGACCCACTCAATCATAAACAGTCAGCAGACATCACAAAGAAACGCAAACTGACTTCATCCTCCCCTGTCGTTTACATTGGCCTCTCCGTCCTCCACCACTCCCCGTTTTTTTTTTTTTTTGTTTTTCTTTCAGTTGTCTTCTTTCCCCCCTCTACTCGTCTCACTCCGGTCAGCATGCAGCAGCGCGAAAGCAAATTCAAAAAAAAAAACAACAACAGGCGTACCCGCATGTCTTTTTTTTTTTTTTTTAAGTTGTTCCTCACAAGAAGTGATACGTGTATATGTAATAATGACGCACACGCATACAAGTGACCGCACAACGTCTCTCATCGACGTACTTCGAATGTTTTGAAGGTGTACGCGTCCCCTGAGGACACGATTGTGGCTTCCACACCGTCCACACGTGACTTGGGCGACCCGACGCGGCACCATTCCACAAGGCTGTCAACATTCTCTTTTAGGCCCTCCGCCATCATCTCCACGCGGCCATCTTCTAAATTACGTACCCAACCACGCACCCCACGCTCCAGCGCTGCTCGTTGCGTATACTTGCGATAAAACACGCCCTGCACTCGACCACGCACAAAGACGTGACAGACAACAATGGCTGGTTTCGGGGCTGACATTCCCCCCTCCCCTTTTGGTGTGGCGGGACCTTCTCGCTGAGTAGCGGGAGCAAAAAAAAAAAAAAAAAGAAGAAGAAACAAACAAAAAATGAGAGGAGAATACAAAATGACAAGCAGCCGAAAGGAATGAGTGAAAAAGAATGAAAAGGAAAGTAAAAAAATAATCATGATAATAATAAATGGCAAGAACGGTAACGGTACAAGTAATCAATGTTGAAAACAGTAATAATAAAGAAAGAGTGCGCTAATGTGTGGTTATGTGCAAATATTGAAATATCTACACATGAAGAAAAGGAATGGAAAAGCCCAAAACGTCTGCCAGCGTGAAGAAGTGATTGAGTGAGTGGTCGTCTCTGCCGCACAGCCCTTCTCCCTCTCCAGCCACTAATAACATTTATGAAAGCAGCAGCGACATCAACGGCAGATTAACAAACAAGAGAAAGAAGAAGAAGAAAAAGAAAAAAAAAAAAAAAGGAGGCGTGAGGAAAGAAATAAACACATCCCAAACACACTTCATGACTCCATCGCCTTTATGGACGCATTCACCAAATTTTGCAGGACTCGCACCTCGTTGCAGAGACGAATTTGCTCCTGCGGCGGCAGTTGCGGCCCTGCGGCGACCAATTCACATATGGTGTCAATCTTCACCTTTACACGCTGCTCCATAATGGTCTGCAAAGCACGACGATCTTTTTTGTGCGTATTGAGGGACTTTGTGAGAGTAGCGATCTCCTCACTCATATCGACATGGACGGCATGCAGCCGCTCTTCCAGCTGGCTTACGGTGGCATCTTTTTCCTGTAGCGCGCGACGCCATTCCTCCTCCTTTTTGGCATGGCTGCTCTGCAATGCCTTTAATTGTCCCTCTAACTCATTTGTAACCGTCGCTAGCGCCGGTGACACCGCCGATGTTGACGATGTGGCAGAAGAAACACCCGCAGTGTTATGACCATGAATATCCCTACCATTATTACTATTATTATTATTACCGTGAACATGAATCATACCACCATGGCTATTAACATTATTTCCATGACTACTGTCACGCGCGGCCGGCACACGTGCTAGTACCGCCGCCTCGATACCATGTTTCGTTTCAGTGCGAATACGCTCCTCTAACTGTTGCAGTGCCATGCACACATTGTTCATCTCCACCCGCTGGGCCGCATTGGTGCAGCGCTCCAGCGCCTTCCTCGACTCCATAGACAACACATCGACTTCATTCATGAGCCGCAAGCGTTGTTCACGCTCCTGTGTTAGTTGCTGCTGTAACGCCTGTATGCGACCCTCGTACGTCTTACGTACCATCTCTTGCTGTTCATCGATATGACGCCGTGTGCGAGCAAACACGTCTTGAAAAGGAGGATGTTGCGTCTTGACGCCCTTCAGTAATTGCTCAAGGACGTTGCTTTTTTGTTCACTCTCCAGTAGTTGACTCTTGAGTAACTCCATCTCCCGACACTGCTGCCAGAAGTAATCGTCAATCTGTCGTTGAACCATTTTCTCCGCGCGTTCCCGCACAAGTTCAATAAGCTGACGCTTCATATCTTCGTTTACTTGAATTGTCGGTTGTTGTGGTGCCATGGACGGCACGTGGGGAAACGCAAGCAGCAACTCCAGCATCTTCTCCTCGGCCGTGAGCAAAACAGCAGGGTTGGCGTCAGACCGATACCGTAATTCACCGCCCTCGTCTCCGTTTTGGACACGTGTCCGCTGCAAATATTCTTCGGCCCGCGCCCTTGAAAAAGGCGTAGAGAAATAGCTTTTGGAACTTCCATTCGGCTCTGGTTTTTGTTGTTGTTGTTGTTGCTGCCGCTGCAGTGCCTCCAACGCCTCCTCCAGCGTCTGGATGTGTGTATCGTATGCGTCAATTTCTTCCTGCAACTGCAGGATCATCTCATCCCGTTCGTTCAATCGTGTCGTGAGGTTCAGCATAATATCGCGCTGTTTCAGTAGTAGCTGCTTGTATCGATCAACTTGCGCCTTTTCCTCCTCCATGACTTGCCGCTCACGGTCGAGCTCGTCGAGTCGCAGTGCGTACTCATCCGACGTGCGGGGAACTCCTTTAAAGCCACCGTTTTGTAGCATCATCTCCAGTTCTTGAATGCGCTCCTCAAAGCGTTTCCGCACCACCAACTCCTCCTGGTGGGCACGCGAAGACTCATGTAAAGCCTCCAGTGCAGCCTCACGGTCTTCCTCCGCACGACGCATGCCTTGTCGCAGCTCCAATAGTATGCATGGGTCAACGCCTCCGCCGGCCTGCTGCGATGTGGCATCACGCTCCTGAAGCTGCTGTCGGAGCGTCTTTAATTCCCGTTCATATTTGCGCAGCAGCGTCGACTGGTCCAAGTCTTCATTGATGAAGGCGGTGTTCTTGATGTTCTTTGCCCGGTTGGCAAAAACAAGCGTGGAGAGGGACTCCGTGTACGACTCCAGAGCGGGGGAGATGCAGGCGATAAGTGTCGTCTTGCAGTTGCCGCCAAGAGAGTCCCGCAAGGCACTTGTCAAGACGGAATTTCGAAACGGCACATGCCGATTACGACCGCCACTTTTATTTGCGAGAGCCGATATGACGTTGCCGAGCTCATGCAGGGATTTATTGATTTTCTTTGTCTCCTCGAGACGCTGACCTGTGGCCCCCACCTGTCGTAGTTTCTCACTGCCGGCAAGATCGACGATGTTAAGCTTGCCGACGCGGTACGAGGTGGGGCTCGTTTCATCCCCTTCCATCACCTCCACAATGATAGTGAACATGGCGTGAGAGCGCGACGACAGTTCACTCATCTTTGTGGCGCTTGTCGCACGCAGCGATGTGCCACGTTCGATGAGGCCGTAAACATCGTGCGGGGAGCGGACAACCCACTCCGAGAGGCCTTCAACGTACACCCCACGCTGCGGTGTGTGCCGCACTACGAGGGAGCGCGCAGTGGTGGGCTTCAACAGGTCCGAAATAACCTCATTGTATATCTGCATGTACGACGCACGAACCAAAAAACGCATGTTCTCATGACGACTCACCTCGATAGATGTAAACACTTCTTCAATTGCACGGGGAATGATACCCCGCTGGTCTTCACTTGTAAATCCCTCCATTGTGTATGTCTTCCCAGTCCCAGTCTGGCCATACGCCATGAGTGTGGCGTTGTACCCCTGCATCACCGAGAAGACCGCTGGTTGGGCGCTGCGTTCATACACTTCAGATTGCAGAGTTTGTTTGTCATAAACGTAGTCAAATGTAAAGGTCTGCCGGGAGTACACTCCGCCACGACCATCCTCCGTGTCCAGCGTCTCACAGAGCGTGATGGAGCGACTGTCATTTGGGATGCGTACAACATCGACATATGGTCGATAGCCGTTCAATTCGCGTTGCACCGGTGGACGAACACGAATCACAACATTGAAGTTGGACTCACTGCCCTCATCCCCACCAAAACCACTGTGGTTGGCAGGAACATTATTGCGATAGATTGGAGAGTGGTTATTAGATAAAGAGGTAGGCGACATATATTCATCGTCGTTCTCATGTCTTGCGACAGTGCTGGGACTGATGCGAAGTGGATCGGCAATATTTGATACTTGCCGTGATGGCCGAACGTTGCGCAGTGGCGTTCCATGCGCCGGTGAAATTTCACCACGTTGTGGGTCTCGATATGTCATTTGTACGCCCCGAGAATATCCCCCTGCCACCCCTCCTCCTCCTCCCCCACTCGTCGCCTCTCAGACGCTCCAAATAATAATATATGTATGTATGCACACACACAAAAAAAAGAATGCGGGAAGCACGAGTTGCTTTTTGATGAGCCCACAGAGACCCGTCTCCACCCCTCACTTTTCTCGCCCGCCCGCACACTCGGAGTAATTTCACACAAGCACAATAAAAAAAATGAATGCGTGAATATGTGAGCCTGGGCGAGGTAAAATGGAAGGGGGTGTGACACTGCGAGAATTGAAAGAAACTAAATTCTCCCGTGCTAAAACAACAACAACAAGAAAAAAAAAAGGCCAAAAAGAAGAAGAAAAAAAAAAGAAAAAAAATTCCAAGCAACTACAAACAAACAAACAAAAACGAACAATAAAATGGGATGCACATTCAAGTACCAATGTATATATATATATGCATATATATCAGGACTGCAGTTGATGCTACTCCCCTCTTTTTCTTCATCTCTCACATAATTCCCCTTTCTCTCTCTCTATATGTATGTATGTATATCACTCTTGCCATGACGCAAAAAAAAAAAAAAAAAAAAGGCATTTGGTGTACACACACGCTCTCACTTTCTCTCTCTCTCTCACACAGAAATACGTACGGAAAAAAAAAAAAAAAGGAAAAAAAAAAATATTTTATAAAACCATGCGTGCAGACACGATCACGGGGACAGTTCAAATGGGAATTGAGGTCATAATAAATAGTACGATGAGCATCAATAAGTCAAAGAAGAAGAAGAAGAAGAAAAAAAAAATGGGGGGAGGGACAAAAGGGCGTTCTTTCTCTCCCCTTTTCTCTCTTTATATCTATCTCATCTCTCTCTCTCTATCTCTCTCTATTGCTTTCCCATATTGCCCTCTCTACATTCAGATAAGCAGATGTATGGTGGGGGGTTTTAGTGTCGGAAATTTTATGTGCAACGTACTGACGGCACCCACACCCATTACCACCAAAGGGAGAAACATCATCACCACCCACCCACCCTTCCCCCAACACACACAAAACATAAAACATTTGACGGGACGCAAACATGACCAATACAAACAAAAATACAAAGAAATAGTCACAATCGGGCGTTAAAGAGAGAGACTTAAAATAGATAATAATAATAATAATAAGAGGAGGAAGAAAATTCCCCCGATGGCGCCGCTCCCTCACCACATCCTCTTCTCTTTTGTATTTTTTCATCGTCTTTTTTTTTCTCTAATAATAATATTATATATATATATATATATGGGCAGCGCCAATAATAATAACAATAATAATCTCTATTTCTTTCGGTTGCTACTGCTCTTCGTCTTCTTTGGGGTTTTATTCTTCGCATTGGCGGCAACAGAGGACGGTAAAGGAGCTGCCTTTTTCATTACAGGCTTCTTTTCATTCTTTTTCTTCACTACCTTCTTATTATTATTAATATTAATATTGTTATGATTATTATTCTCGGGCTGCTTCTTCGGCTTCGCTACCGCGGCCTTTGATGTCGATTTCGCTGCAACTTTTGAGGCTACCTTTGCTGCCGGCGCCTTTGCCGACGTTCCCCTAGCGGCCTTTGGCAAAGATGCCTTTGCGTTCGCTGCTCCCTTCCCTCGCGCGGCAGTTGTAGGCTTTGCTGACAATGTCGGCGCTGTCGCCAAAGACGTATGCTCCTTGCCGTTCCCCCGTTTTTCCTTCGGCTTGGACTTGCCTTTGGCAGCAGGTGCTGACGGTGTTGCCACTCGACCCTTTCGAGCTGCTGTCACAGCCCGTGTTGGTGGCGCATCTAGCCACTCCGAGAGTCTATTCGGTTTTTTGTTGGTTCGTCGACTTTCGCCCTTTGTTCGCCTTACCGATTGATTAATCAAATCTGCCCAGAAACCCTTCTGGTCTCCACGAGTTGTTTCCCCATCCGTCGAACCCATATTATATCCCGTGATTTTTGTAAGTCCCGCTTTCTTCATAAAATTTGATACACCTTCATTAGGACCTTCCGCGTTTTTTGCGTACATCTGATTGATATCTTCATCCAACGAAGACGAAGGAACAGACTGTTGCGCCTTTGACGAAGGATTCTTTTTCGTAATGACGGGTCGGGGCCGTGAGCTAGATGCAGGATCAATAAACAAATGATTTCCTGGAGACGCCACCCCACCCCGTGGTGCCATTCTGTACGCTGAGGGCGCCCCCTGCTGCTGCTGGTGCTGTTGTGGCTGCTGCTGCTGCTGCTGCTGAGGTTCTTGTTCGTGTTGCTGCTGATGTTGCTGTGAATGCTGTTGCATCATGGATGTGTTCATTGGGGGTGGCTGGGGCATTTTTTGTTGTGTTTGCTGCTGCTGTTGCTGTTGTTGTTGTTGTTGTTGTTGCATTGGTTGCTGATGTTGGGTATTGACGCCAAAGGAATTTCCATTGCCACCAAAAGCCCTTGCGGGAGGCTGCATCTGCGGCGATAACCAAGTGGCATTTTGTCCTCCCATGTGGTTCCCTTGTGCAGATGCCATGGAAGGCCTAGGCACACTCCACGGAGATGCCCACCCCGATGTTGGCGGTGCATTTGTTCTGGCGGCGTTTGGTGACGTATTCCACCCATCGTAGCTGAACTGAGGTGAATCGTATCCAAAGGAAGATTTGGCAGCCGGTGGAGTATGAATGCCTGTGGAAGAGCCATGTTTGTCGACCCGAGGAAGACCTGTTCGACGCGGTCGCAGTTGTTCGTCAATGGTGTTGCTGTTGCCTTGGTTGATCATGTCACCTCCATGCGGTTCCTGCTGCGACATGTCATGCCACGCGTTCGACAACCGGCTTGGGTCAAACAACTTCATGTACGATGACCCCGTGTGAGAATCTGCCGCTCGTGATTCTTCTGGTGGCGGCGGCTGCGACGCTACTGGAGGTGCAGACATGACAGGCTCTCGTGGCTTCATGCTAGTATCCGGTGCATTGCCAAAGAGATTCCATCTTCTCATGCCTGATGGCGCGGAAGTCGTATTTCCACTGTGCGTGGCAGATGGAGGCGCAGACGCCGAATCATTTGTCTGTTCCTGTATTCCATTTGTATGGGTCCTGGTAGCATTCTCGTAAGCTTCTGTGGTAGCCGCTGGTTGTGACCCGGTGGGTTTTGTCATCTGCGCGGAAGAGACGTCCTTGGCGCCAAATGCCGGCATCGCTCCCACGTTGCACTGCGATAATGGCTGGGACTGTTGTTGTTGTTGTTGTGGCGGTGACAGTGTTGCTGTTCCCGTTGTTGTTGCGTCGCTGGCGGTTGCTCGTAATGGGGTCGCAAATGGGTCCGCATCCAACGCCGCGTTCACGTCATGGGACTGCGGCTCTGTTGGAGGCGTCGGCATTGGCGTTGCCAGCGCTCTGACCGCCCTCAACGTGAAACGGCCAACCTGCTTCGTCTGCGCTTCTTGCGGGAGCGACATGTTCATGACTGCATCCCGCACCTCGGCGGGGTACGTCGCCGCGTTACTTTTAACCGAAACAGCCAACGGTGTTGAGGCCGTCAGCGGTGGATTGGGCATGCCGTATTGTATATGCGCAATGAGAAGTGTAAATTGCGCCGCTTCCTCGTCCGGCTGCGTAATGCGGCCGTAGGCGTGGTTTACAATCTCCGTGAGTGTCTGCTGCAGAAGGGGCTGCTGCGCTACGTTCCCATACACCTCCTGCAGCGACCACAGCAGACTTCGCATTTCTCTCGTCCCCAAGCTTCGCATGAAGCGCAGCATCTTCTCGTTGAAGATCGCCAGCCACTCGGATCTGGGGTGCAACTTGCGGATTGGGCGCACCGCCTCGAGGTACCGCAGCACGGTCCGCAGCTGCACCTTTTCCTCGCTCACCAATTCCTCGCCTCCCGTGACGACAAAGTTGACCATCGCCTCGTCCGAGTCCTCCCCAAAGACGCTCGTAAGAATTTCCACAAGCGAAACAAACTGCTCGGGTGAGATGGAAACCGCCTTGGCGGCTGCAAGTGCCTTCACAGGATCCCGAGCATGGGGTATGCCTGATGCCAACGGCAGACTGTAAAGAGTATCTGCCGTCCACTCAGCCTCGGCAAAGCGGCTTGAGAGGTACATCATACAGGCTGCCAGTAATTCTTGCCGTCCAGATGCCTGCACCATGCGAAGATCGTCCGGAGAAAATCGCTCCTGCGCCGCATTCAGGCGTGCTGTAAGTTCAGCAACGATAATACCCTCAAACTTGATACCTTTTGCAAGTGTCATGGCGTCCACTAGCTGTCGACCGGAGATCTCCTTGTAGTTTATCTGCGACTGAAGCGCCTCATCATCAGGAAACGCCATACTCAGTGTGAGTTTCGTGTAGCTGCTGCAGTTTGGTACGAGAAGGCGAGTTGCCACCGCCTTTGCCTCGGGCATCCATGAAGGTGAAATGGGCGCAAAGGTGGAACAGATGTGGCTAATCTCCGACAGTGAAAACTCCCCCAACACCGTCTCAATGCGTTCGCCGAGTTTCATTGCCAACTCCCGCGACAAGAGATGTGAGCGACGGAGTATGCCAGATGCAATGGCAAGCTGCTGAGGCTCAAAGCAGGTCACATTCTGCGCGACGTAGCTTTGGTAGGCGAGAAACACATGCCTGTAGCGCAGTCGCCCACCCATCTCATAGGCAAACGCAATGGAAGTTATATCATCGCAGTGTTTCCAGTAAAGATCGTCATTGCTGTCTAAGAACCTGAGGACACGAGGTTCATACTCTTCTAGTAGCATACTCATTCGCCCACCGAGTTCACCCACATCACGCTGTGTCACGCCGTTTTTTCCCGCCTCCAAGGACCCAAGCATTCGTGCAATGGATGCAAGAATAGCCGCCACATCGCGTCCATTGGCAAGTGTTGAGTACATTAATCCCACACGTGCCATGCGATGAAGCAATGGAAGTGGCAGAGGCGACAATTGATGGTGGCGAAGGCAAGAAGACATGAGCGTGGCAAAGTCATAGCTATGAAACTCACCGGTATGCTCCACAAGGGCAACAAGGAGGTGATTTGCCTCAGCCACCTTGCCAGTGCGCACCATCCAACTATACACGCGTAAAAGAGAGCTTTGAAGTATCGGTAGCTCATTCGTTGGTGTACGCTCTAGTTGCGCTATTACCATTTGTGTCAGGGATTCATTCAATACACTGGGCGCGTGCTTGCCATTACGCTGCAACACCTTCGCTGAAAGTTCAATAACGTTCCATTTATGTGTGATGTCACCAAAATTACCACAGTTGTCGTTGTAGGCAACATCTCGCGTTGCCTGTTTCAAAACATCATCCACTGTGGCAAATATGCGTTCCATGTATAGTTCACTTCGCGAAGACAATGCAATGGCTACCTGGAGCCGTGTGTGGCTGTCGATGTTGGGATCATCTAACAAACGCAAAAGCTTGTTTGTAATGAGTGCAAGCAAAGAGGGTTCCGGTTCAATTTCAAAGAAACTCAGTAGCTGCGACAACGCCAGAGCATTCGTTCCCTTCTCCATCCACACGTTTGTCCCAGTTCGCGGAACTTCCTCCTGAAGAAACTTCTCTGCCTCACGCCGCGCAAACTCGTACTGGCCGCGTCCTCGATGTCTACGCTTCAGTGCAGCGGCCTTGCCGACAAACTCCGTCAATTGCATATGTCCTCCACCGATGGTATTGCTGCCGTTGTAGTTCGTAGTATTATTAGTGGTATTGTTGTTACTGTTGTCACCGCCACTGCTGCTGCTACTGCTGTTGCCTTTGCTGTTGCCCCAACCAAAGGCCGACCTGCGAGCGTTCGCAATGGACCACAGTAACACGGGACGAACATGCCGCATCTTCCTTGAGCTGCGTATGACGGTTCCTTCTCTATGTAAAATTACAGGGCGCCCCTTGGCAACAGAGAGCGCAGTATGGCAAAAATGACGAAATAAATCGAGCGGTTTGATGGCTCTTTCGCCGCGTTTGTGTTATCTTCTTTTTGTTTTTCTTCGTTTTTTATGTGAATGCGCGGGTGGGTAATTTTTTGTTCCCCCCCGTTTTTCTCCTCCTTTACGGGCTGCACGCCACCAACACCACCGTCCACCGCGCTTCGATTCAACGCTGCTGTGCGACTGCCTGCCTGAGAGTGACGAGGAGAAGTGCAGGGCAATGACTGCAGACGCCGCTGCCTCCACAATCACCAAAACCTTGCAAGATATATATATATATATATATATTTTTTCTTTGTATGTATGTGTATGTATGCGCGCCCAGTGAGGACGTCACCACAGCCGCTCCTTTTTTCTTCTTTGCCCCTTCTCTTCGCTCCCTGCGGTTGTGGTGTGGCACGTGTCGTGGCTGCGGTGTCAACTGGCGGCCCAACGCACCGCAACACAACGGCTGTAACTGTTGAGTGGGTGGGTGCGGAAACCAAAACACACGCACACACAAACAGTCGCGAAGGGAGACGGGAAGACTCGGAAGTGAGGGGCGCAAGGAAGTAGGCGCTGCCGTCAATATCCCTCAACACCTTACGACTTACTTCACATCACCAGCCATGCAGCAAATGTAGAAAAAAAGAAAAAGCGGAAAGCCAACAATACACACATACAGACAGAAAGAAGAGATGAGAAAATAATAACAACAACAATAATAATAATAATAAAAGAAGGCAGATGTCACAAGAGAGGAAACTCCCCCGTCCTATCACCACCATCTAACATAAAAAAGCACAGTTATGTATTTGCGGATATAAAGAAATGCTGACAGAATAAAAAGAGTAGATGGATGAGGGAATAAAGGCCATCAGTTCCTTACTGCCAGAGAGGGACCAGGGACTGGGAGACCCGCCGCAGTCATATCATGGATAAAAAAAAAGAAGGCACGCCATGCGGCCACGCTATCGCACACCATAATAGAAAAAAAAAAAAAAAAAACACACACACACACACAACATACATTATATATATATATATATATATATATATATATATAAAGAAGAAACCCGTCACGGACTCACATTCACTTCTCCAAAAAAACATATGCCTTCTCCTTGTCAAAGTCAAAATATATATATAACAAAGACGGAAACAACAAACAACTAAATAACCAACAATGGCACTGCCAAATACTTAAATACGAAACAACAACAACAACTAAAAAAAAAAAAAGGTCTTTATTTTAAAAACTAAAATGGGTGCCCCCACTCAATACTTTTATTTTCCTACTACTCTTTTCCCATGTTTCATCCTTCCCTCCTTCCTTCCGCCCTACAAAAAACAAACAAAAAAAAACATTACTTTTCCCTTTTTCGTAAGGGCGACAGCACAAGAGGCAGTGAAATAGGTAAATCAACATAATGTCCATCCGAGCTAAAGAAACCGCCGTCTCTATTCTTGTCACGTACGGCAGACGGATCGAGTGCCCTCGACGCAAACGCCGGGCCAATTTCGCCAGGTATTCTTCTTTTCGCCTCACTTCTCTGTGACTTTGGTGAGCATTTCTTTGGAGACAACAGCGACTCAGCGTCCATAATATCCGCCGTGTCCAGCATGTTAAGTGGCGCTGGTAATGAGGTCTGATTCGACCCCGGCGGCGGCATCACCACGCCTGGCATCTTGCTGCAGTTGTTATTGTTGTTGTTGTTGCTGCTGCTGCTGTTCTTGCGCATGTTGTTTCCAAGCAGACCGTGACAAGTTTGACCAGACGTCTCCATAAACCACTGGTGGGATAACAGCTCCCGTGCCTTGGGTCGTAATCGCGCATCACGAACGAAGCAAAGGTCTAGAAATGCACGGAGAGAGACGGAAGCCTCACAGTTTTCCGGTAGACGTGGGGGTGTCCCGTCGGATGACGCAATGGCAAAAAGCACCGCAGCAGGATTCTTCATTTCCCCTCCAAACGGCTTCCGACCGGATATCATCTCAAATACGGTTACCCCAAGGCTCCATATGTCGGCTGCAGTCGTGTAACTATTTTTATGGACTCTTTTTTTGCAGCTCCCCTCACCGTCATATCGTTTCGTATCTTCAACTCCTTCTACATCCTCATCGGCATTGCCGTTGACCACCTCTGGCGCCATGTACCACGGCGTCCCTACTGTCGTTCTCATGCTAACATTGTCGTCAAGGAGTTTGCTGACGCCAAAATCTGTTAATTTACAACGACCATCTACAGTGATGAGAACATTGGCTGGCTTGACATCCCGGTGGCACACCCTTGCCGTGTCATGAAGATACGCCAAACCCTCCAATATGTCATGTGTGTAGGAGCGCACAACACTTTCACGAAGCGAGCCCTGGCGTCGAATGATTGCGTCCAAAGACCCGCCGTTGATAAGCTCCATGATAATCTGCACGCCGACCGCACTGCGGCGGGCCCCATAGTACACCACAAGATTGGGGTGCTCAAAGCGCTCCATGAGCGTAATTTCCCGCACAATTGCCCGCCGCTCTTCGACAACTGTGGGGTCCTCCTCCTCCGCCGCGTCGTCGCCGCCGCCTGTCCCAACACCCCCGTCATCAAAAAAAGGAATCTCCTTCACCGCGACAAATCTACCACGTTCCTCGTCATATCCCTCATACACAACTCCTCTCGCCCCAACACCCAACTTTTTGTTCGTCTTACGTATGTGCTCCATTCCTCCTCCTGCCCCTCAAAATAAAATAAAAAATAAAAAAAAACACTGCGAGATGGGCGGAGAGGGGGAAAAAAAAGACAACACCAGTTTTTTGTTTTGTTTTGTTTTCTTTTTAAAGAAGTTCAAATAAAAATCCGCAACAATCCAAATAGCCACAAAAAACAAAGTGTCGTCGGTCTGTGCGTTTTAACTAAAGTCACACAGTTAGGGTTATATATATATATATGTGTGTGTGTGTGTGTGTGCAGGAGGTGCACCTAGCAACGAATCCTGGACCCCCGTAGTGACGGAAAAGAAGAAAAAAAGAAAAAAAGCCAAGAAATGTAACAAAACACCAGAGAAGGAAAGAGATATATAACGAGAGAACACAAACTGAAAAAATAAGAGAGGCTGCATAAATGTCCCATCAAGATGTAAAGGGTTAGATACACACACAGGTAGAAAGAGATACAATTCATGGCTCACGGGTAGAAGATAAGCATTAGAAACAAAATCAATTGGGGTTTCGTGTCAACACACCGCGTGTTTTTTATGTTCTTTTTTTTTTGCCCCCCCCACCTGCCACTCCACTACGCTTCGTGACCTTTTTCTCGTTTGTTTGTTGTTGAAGTGTTTTTCTCTGACGGGGCATCTACGCCATTTCGTGTAAGACGCGGTGAGCACGCAGCACCACATTCAACAAATACGACTCGATCGTTTTGTCATCTGCGTTATTTATAAAAATCCACATCGGCCAGCGTCCCTCCATCTGTCCCTCAGGCAGGCTGAGCATGTCGATCTGCAGCGTTATGAACTGCGTGTCGCTAGGAGCCAGCGAAAATTGCTTCGGTGTGACACGCAACTGGTACTTGTAGTTATGACGCACGGTGAACACCTCCTCCTTCGTTCCACGATGCAAAAACTGCAGACGGCGGAATATCGGTGCCGTGGTATCCGCCAGGCTAAACTCCAGCGTCTGTGTGTATGTCGGTGTGGGGTACACCGTGGGGATCGTCAATAGCGTCTTTGCCAGGTGGTGGTCTGTTAGTGCATGTAACAAAACCTGCTGTGTACCCACCTCTGTCGGCCGCACATGCAGCAGGTAACAACCTTCTCCCCTCTCCACCTTCACATGGGAGTGGCTACAATAAAGTGCCTCTATACCAGAGGCAGGGAGGGCTACAGTCGTGGTCTGCCCAAAGAGCAGCTCGCGTGAGGTGACAGATTGACAGGCAAAGATACAAAGTTCCCACGTCTCAATCACATGACTCATGGCGTCATCCTTGTACAACACCAAATACTCCACGCGCTGCCCCCTCTCATCACGTGGAATTGTAGTGCGCACGGTGACCTCTTCCCATGCGGTGACAAATGACTGCGTGATGGGGTCGAGCACCGCGTTCACCTCCGCCGTCGTCGTCTCCGACGTGATGGTGGTGCGAGCACACATGTCCCGCATACGCGAGAGCAGCTTCACCCTATCAGATGTAATGGGGAAAAGGGCAGAGGAAAAAACCCGGGAAAAAATTTTTTTCGAAACTTCAGTCCCCGCCGGACCGTAAATCTCAAAGCGACGATCCACAAACGTTGGCCCTAACGTGGCGTGGACGTCAACGATACGCACCACCTCACGTCCATCAGTAAGAAGCCGAGCACGGAGATGTTTGGATTCTGCGTCACGTGTTTTCGCCATGGCGTTTAGTCGAACCACGAGAACTACCTCTGTACACTCCCGTGGTCCCAAATAAAACGTTGGAGGGGAGACAATTTCCAATGCGCCCTTCGCCGGAGTGTCCACCTCCACACTAAACTCCATGACTGAGCAAAACGGATTTTGAAATGGCGTGCGCGTTACCTCTGGACGACAGGAGGAAACATACACGTAATGGTGCGCCGTCAATCGCTCCATCAATGCCTCGGCAATCTTGCGTGACTTCATCTCATCCCGCTGTTTCTCGAGATAGCGCAATCGGAACTCAAGATCCCCTTCCTGTAATCGATGCTCGTTCGGCACCCCTGGTAATATCGTCCTGTTACAGTATATTTGCTTTATATGCTGCGCCCGGCGCCAATGGATGCCAGTCGTTTCTTCATTCGCACTGGAAGTTGCAGGCACCAACTGCTGCTGTTGCTGCTGTGATGAAGAAGACGAGAGTTGCGGAGGGCCTTTGGAGGTCACCACCGTATCGGAAGGGTTTGCAGCACTCGATTCCACTGGCATTTTTACACCTGCATCGGTTTTCTCGCCTTCTAGTAAGTGAGTTTCTATAATTTTTGCATGTGGCAACTTCTTTGCAACAATCACCCGCGAGCCGCTTGGTGGTATCAAGACTTTGTTTCTTGACTGTGCGACAGATCCTCCCTTGGCGGCGACGCAAAAGAGCGTCACGTGCA